AAAATATTATAATTTAATTGGTTAAAAAACTTTTCTCCTTTTTTTATTCTTATTAACTTAAATATAGTATAAAAGTACTCTATATTGGATCTAATGTTATAATAATCGAATGTTATTAACAACTTATTTTCATCTTCATGTTATTAACATTTGTTACTAATGATTTAAACACTCTACTAAGTAAAAAAAATTATAACGAAACTGTCACATAAAATAATAAAAATTATACATGAAAGAAAGAGGAATGTTGAAAGAATATTCAAAATTGAATCTTGTTAATGGAATATTCAAGTTGAATTTAACAAATCAACTTGTCTATACTCCTATCCAAGTTGAAATTTTTAATTTTTAATTGAGTAATATCATGATTTAATTTTAAATAATTCAGCAACTGAAATTTAAATAGTAAAAGGAAGCTGAAATAATATGTATCATTGACTGCACCACCTGAGTTGCATGATCCAATAACTCTACACCTATTGTAAAGTGCATCTTTTAATTCTAGAACTAAAGTTTGAATCTCTTGTCCTTATAATAACCATATATTTATTAAGTTTAAAACTTTTAATCCCTCACCTAATTTTATAAAGTTTTTAGCCCTTAAACTTAAAGGTTTAAAGATTTTAGTCCCTTAACTAACGAAATCTGATAACTCTTTTAAATTAAGAATAGAATATTTATAGGATCAATCCTCAAAAAATAAAAATGTAATTATTTAGTTCCAAAAGTTTAAAATTTAAAAAAATTAGAAAATTAAAAGGAATTAATAGATAAAATTTTCACATATACTAGAACACTATTAGATATCTATAATAAATCGAGTAATTAACTTAATTTAAAAAAAAATTCTAACTGAGATTAAATAAAAAATTTTAATTGAGTCAAAGATAAAAATTTCAAAAGATTAAAAGAATATAGTTAAAAATTATTTTTAGTCTTAGCCAATTTTTTTTTTCTTTAGATTAAGCTAATCACTTAATTTTATTTTAGATATTTAATATTATTCTTATATACATAACAAAGACATTCACTAATTATTTTTAATTTATTAATTTTTTTAATTTTTAAAATTTTGAAACTAAATTATTATATTTTTAATTTTTAAAAATTGATATTATAAATACTTCATGATATAAGATGACGATTTAAAAGTTCAAACTTAATAAAGTAAGGTCAATTGTATACTTTATTCAAATTATAACCAGTTAAAAAATATATATATCATGCATCGGATCCCTCAGGTCAAGTGATTTTTGAGTCATTTTGAAGGTGCAGTCCCTCTCTTTTGGTGAGTTTGAAGTTCGAATCCTACCCTTGTCACTTTGATAAAATATATATATATATATATCACTGACTACATTGTGGGTCCCTGAATTAATTCAGCCTGCCTTCAAACATTTCTTCTTCTTTTTTCATTTTATTTTTTATATTTTTTTATGTTATATTATATACTTCCAAACATTTCTTCTTTTTCGTTTTCTTTAATGAACAGCTTTTAAACATTCTGACCTGTAATCACGTTTATTTATACAACTCCCAACGAGGCAACAACATTATTAGATTGATTCGTCAATGATATGCTTCATTAAATAATGTTAATTATTCTCTCAAAATTATTTTGATATTTTTTTTTTTAAATATTTTTGTTATGGGGTCGACTTAAACCGTTATCCTAAGAGAAGAAAATATGAACCTTTATAAACATGACTAAAACCACTTAATCCAAAGGATCAGATTCCATAATTTTGATATTAAATATTCATATAATAAAAAATAAAT